TCCTGATATCCTATTAAAATCAGATATATTAGGAATCATCTCTTTCTTCAGTTATTGAATTCCTCTAGTTATATTCTATAGATGGAATGATAATTTTGAACTGTCTACCAGAAATTTTTTCGCTTATATAGTGATTTAATACTATTTTTGTTAAATTATAAGCAATCATTTTGAAGACTGTAGATACCCTTGTCACTTTTCGAGTAATTTATTGTTTTGAGGTTATATTTTATATCCTTGAACCCTATCGACCATCAAAAAGCCCGGGCGATATGGTCTTGGATCGGTCGGTCCTGGTCTTCAACAAAAAACGTTACCATCAGTCAATGCGGTCATCAAAAATCCTGCGGTCGAAGTGTGGTCCAAGTGTCGCAACCGGTCATCAATCAAAAACTCTCTCTATACGGGTGACAGCAAGATAATTGGACAGCGCGTCATCAAGTTGTTATTTATGTTAGAATTATGAAATTCGAAACGGTGATATAATTCCTTGAAAGCCATATTTTCCATGAAAAAACAGTTGAATATCACTTCCGGTTTCACCGGAAATTGACTTTCCAGTGATATATCATAAGTGGAAATTTGTTTCCAAAATAACGGAGCAGGAGACATTCAGTCTACATTGTAGTACAGTAATTAGTATTTGATCAAACATGCGAAAACTTTCATTTATCGCCAACCACCATTCCTTCTGATAATTCTTTCAACTGAGATTCTTTCACTTGAATTTTCTCGAAAAATTTGAACAAGAAATGGTATTTTTTCCAAAAAAGAAATAAATTTATTCATTCACGTTGAGCAGTAAGCATTCAATGATTTTAAAATTGAAAATAAGAACAAGAGGCGTACTTTGTTGGAAAAGTACAATTTCCTATTTGAAATGTTCGAGAAAATTCAAGAGAGTGAATGTCATTTGAAAGAATTACTGAAAGGAATCCTGATTGGCAATGAATACAAATTTTCGCACGTTTCATCAAAAACTAATCAAAATGCTTCGTCTATCGAATGGTAAAAAATAACAGGGTTCCATTTAAAATTCTTGGCCTTAGTCAATATCCAGTGAAACCTGAATGACGACCGGTCAACCACAGAATCTCATATTTGATATTTATACAAGAACTTTCGAAATCTATCAATTTAGCGGATTTAAAGGTTATTGAATGACATTGTGATGACATTTAGCAATAAGTTGCTGATTTCTCATCGGAATTCCTTCTGCCATAGGACCTAATAGAAATACTCGTGAAATTTCTAAAGGAATGCAAGAAGATAGGATTCATGCATTCAAACGGGAGGAATGGTCTGACACGCTGACGAAATATGATCGTGTGTGTTGTAGACATGTTCAATTCATTAGCAGTATTAGCTTCTATTGCAGAAGTGGCAGAAGGAATTTTAATAAGAAATGACAAAATTTCATAATTCAAACTATGCGGGATTACTATTTACCTGAAAAATCATATTCCTTCGTCTCTCGGTGCATTGTATAAGAGCACAATGAGAAAGCATGCTTGAATTAATGAATAGATTCGAATGCCAAAATATTTTGAAAAACTATTTCAATCCTTTGATTCCTCTGTAAACAAATAAAAGAAGTGAGGTTGTGTTTCAATATTTCACCTTCAGGGTCGGTCATCGTACACTTGACCTATAGAGAAAGCATATCTACCTTTCCAATTTATGCCTAAACGTCATCGCAACGTCAGATCATTACCTAGAAATCCGCCAATTCAAAAGCGAAGATGATATTTTCCGAGTTTTTTCACAACAGTAAGTTCTACCATCAACAAACTACTTATCATTGAAAAGGAAAAACCTGGTTAACACAAAACTCAAATATAAAGGAGAATAGCTTCATAATAGTGGATTTTGTCGATTTCCAACGCATTGTGGAAGTGATGACATATGAATTTAATTATTTTGACCTGCGGCCGAAATTATGACAACATAACCATAAGGTTTTACACTATGAATGTAATCCTTTTCCATCAATCACTTCTGCTACATCAAAAATTTCAATAAAACAATATGCTTTACAACAATATTACACGTTTTGTGGTTTGATAGTGTGAGATATTATACTATGTTTCAAGTATCAAGGATAGTGAGTCCGTAAGTCCGATGCGTGAAAAGTTAACATGATTATGAGCCAATTAAAGTTAGTTTATTAATAAGGCGGTTTTTAGGAACAGTTTTTTTTTTTTCATTTCAATAGACAACACAAAAAATATATTAGCAGGTTAGTACAAAGCAAAACAAATGTATGTAAATAATCAAAATTTATTAAAATGATAATTAAAATTTATAAAAGCACATACTCTCTGTCTGATACATGCAATTAAAGTCAATCATAGAAAATATTCTGGCAATCAGATCGTAATAGTTAATTGATAAAAAATTACAAATAATATTCGTTTATAATACACAAGAATTAAGACGATAAAATAATAGTCATTTATTCCTAGGCTATTTTTGCCATTTGCTCAAGTACTACATAAAGACATTTTTACAATACAACATTAAATTGTGGACTAGATTATATGACTCAGGCTATGAAACTATAAAGGTCTGCAGTGATTTTGATACAATTGAATTAGTTTTTCTTCAATAAATTGATGAATATTTGATTCAACTCTTATCTATGAGAAACATAATAGTGATAATAAATTAATTCTTCAAGTTAACAACATGAAATCTAAATTATTCCAACTGCTTTAAAATTCATGAGATGAAGAGCAAAAATAATTGATGATCAAATATAGCTTATGTATCAGGTATAAAGAAATGATGAGTGAGTAAACTGACTAAATTAGCATGAATCATTTTTCTGAATTATATGGATCATTTCAATGCAAGAGGCACCCAAATGTGGACTTTTTGTTTTCAGTCATTTCTAGATTGATTTCATAAATCAGCTTGTATAAATCTTCAGCAAAATGTTGATGTCATTCACTACCCACATCACCCAAATCATGACATGCTTGAAACAAGTAGAAGATATTTCCACTTTCTATTTCAAAATATGATAACTATCATAATCATTTGAGCTACAATGGAATTCTACCAACGTTTTATAATCATTTGTATACCATTTCCGTGACATAATATGTTTCTAATATTTGTTTTTGTTGAGTATCACCTGTAAGGAACTACAACAAAGATTTCATTTACTGCCACTTGTGACACCTTTGATTTGTGTCAAAAAAGTGTATTGCAACGTTTCATTGAGAGTATGGAACTTCAATTCAGAATTAGAAAATATGATAATATTTGTCAAATATTTGATATGATATGCAAGATGTTTGGGGAAAAGTGCCTTCAATGAATCAACAATCAGAGGGTTTGATAGACTGAATAGAGTATCAGGGTAAAATATCGAATTTGAAGTTGAAGATAATAATTGTCAAAAATATCATTCATATATTTGACATTGTCCACAGTTCATATGATGGAATTAATAACAATCAAGATGTGAAATTAACAATCATGCATTCAATTTACTACACGCCAAAGTTATGTTATTGTTATCAAACAAACTGTTTTCCTCATACAGTGTATGTAGCTTCTCCATTGATTGTTTTATTCCCATGAAAATTGTTGAATAATATCATCAAAATCAATCAGCAAGTTTCTAGGCAAATACATTTTGATGAATAATCATAATATCTGTATAGAAATAATGGACGGTCAAATATTTAAAAATATATATAGTGTCAGACTGAGAACTATATCTGTGAAAACTATTATTTATATCTCACAATAAATTGGAAATTGGATACTGTAATTGTTCATCATAAGGTTGAATTGAAGCACTAGTATAACGAGATTATACTTTATGTGTCAATGCCAGTTTTAATCTTTTGAAGATTCTAGCACAGTTAGCAGAACCATTTGTCCAGGAGTTAAAAAATCAGTTTGATGTGTGTTATGATGTGCCTGGACACTTCATTTTGTGCATTTTACCGCAGAAGAAGTGTGATCCAATTTGAGTTTCCTATGTTGGATCACCGTGAAACAATCAGCTGTAAATCCTTCAATCATTCAGTCAAACACAATTGCAATTTGAATTTTCAAATGAGTAAAATTCATTCAAATATGTACCCTTGTATTAAAAGAAAAGCGTACAAATATATTAGAGACAAATTAACGTCATCCTATTTGCATATAACGACAATAGTTATTTACCAAATGTTGACCGTAAAGTTGTCGTAGGTTCTGACAAGACAACAAGAACTAGGATGATGTAAACCTGGTTTTTTAATACTTGTACGTTTTTTTATTGAATACGACTGTATATCTCCTTTGAGCGAATCACTAATTCTTCGAACCTTGAAGAAATTTAGATGAAATGAGTCGTTGCAACGTTAATTGGAGAAGAATTAGTCCATATACCATGTAGACAACCGTCAAGGACCAATACAGTTCTGACTATTTCTAACATGAATTATTTTATAAAAATTTTGTGAGACAGAAATTACTCCAAAATGATAAATCACCTCAAAAAATTAATAGTTATGAGGCCACTATAGCAGATGAGAATGAGTGAGTAATTTAAATACTGAGGAATAAAAAAGACACAATTCTAAATTTCTTGGCAACAGTATTTGAAACATTGGGGTCCATAATGAAAAATGCACGAGAAGGCTGATCGTTTATGATCAAGAGACGATTTATCAGATTGACCTCCTCTTCACGGGACACGCTGTATAATCTGTGACTGGTTTTCATACCTTACTGCTGAAACACCATTTGCATTTTGCGCCAGAATGGAACTGACCAATCCACAAAAATTGCTAAATCCGTCAATTTACTCACTCATCAGATGGCAAGCGAGACATACAAAATCAACTCTTAAAATAAAGGCACTCAACCCCAAACAACCATCCATGCATTTCTAGCAGCTAGCACGAACCGACAAGGAAGAGAAAAAAAAGTCACATCGAAAGCACCTCATCGAGCCTCTGCACGACCACTTTGGGTCCTTTAGGGGATTTGCATACCTGTTGCACGGGTCGCTGCGCCTGCGCCTGCTTGACGGGACTAGGCGCCGGCGGGCTCTGCAGCTTGGCCGAGTTGACCTGTTGCTGCGCCGCCACCGCCGCCGCCGGTTGTTGTTGGACGGGGGCCAGTGGCGGGGGGTTGGTGGCGGTCGGTTCGGCCGGCGCCGCTTCTTGGCTGCCCGGCTGGACGGCGAGGTAGATCTTGGTGGGGCCGAGGACGCCTTGTTTGCCGGTGGACGCTTGAGCTGGAATGAGACAATTGTTTTGTTGTTTATAAAAAAGCTTTGAAAGTACTGTATTGTCTACCATTTGACACTCCAACAAATCAACTTTATTCCATGACTAACACATTTTCTTTGGAGGAACATTATGCAATGGACACTCTCAAATTATCATATCTTACCTACAAAATAATTCGGAAGAAATGGGAATTGAGAACATAATACATGCAGCTGCATGCAACCAGCGAGAAACGAATAAGTGATATTGGTTGTAGATGTGTCCAGTCCATTGTTTACTAACCTTTGTCTCACGTTCATTGTCATGCTTAGCGCAGAATGAATGAATTGTTCTCAAAGATGGATGCTTCATTTTTACACTTCTTGGAGATATGCAAGTACCAGAACATTCTCTTCGATTTCACTTTCGTCTACATTTCGCATATATTTTTAATGAATAATTCTGATACAAACGAATATTGTTTGAATAATTCTGATACGAAATTTGAAAATAACAGTTGACAGTTGATACAATTGACAGGCCAGACATGTCTCAAATTACTGAAGCTGTGTTTAATGAACTGTGTTGCCATGGTAATGTGTTTAAGAAATCGTGTTGCCATGGTAACGTGTTTAATATTTCTATAAATCAGATCGTCAATTCGTGAATCGATCAATTAGCGTGGTACATATCCATACGCTAAATGCCATTTTAGTTATGTGAGTAGAAAAAAAAAACGATTTAAATCAACCCTCTCATAATCTTTAATGAATAATTGTTACTTTAAAAAATATGATATGCCTACATTTATTGATAACAATATTTACTTAGAAATGGGTAACAATTTAGGAATTGTAGCAATGTATTACAAATAAATGTTATTATTATTATTATTATTATTATTATTATACTTAGCTGTGTGCACGCCTATATACAGGGTAACTCACGGTCCATGGTACGTTAGACGTTTACGGAGAACGGGACATAGGATCATTCTGAAATTTTGGTTACTCACGTAGTTGCTCTTGGTCTATCAATCTAAAATATTTTCAGCTCTGCGGCGTTGCCGCTTCTATCGAAAAGTAGCAACAACTTTGTTATTTTAAATGGAACACCCTGTATTTTATTGCATTTTCAGATTCTCTCTGAAGAGTTGATTTCATCGATGTATCACACTTGGGGTCTAGCGGAAATGATTACAGAGATATAGGGTGTGAAAATCGACATTTTTCAACTTTTGGAATTTTTTTGTCCAAACTATTCATCATTGGTCAAAACGGCTTACATGTCCCTATCTCAACTTTTGATCAACTATCTACTGACATTTAATTGAAACAAATACAGGGTGGAGCAGAATTCAGAATCTTGATCACCCGGTATATGTCCCAATTAAATATCAGTAGATAGTTAATCAAAAGTTGAGATAGGGACATGTAAGCCGTTTTGACCACTAATGAATAGTTTCGACAAAAAAAAATTCCTTAAGTTTAAAAATGTCGATTTTTCACACCCTATATCTCAGTAATCATTTCCGCTAGACCCCAAGTGTGATACATCGATGAAATCAGCTCTTCAGAGAGAATCTGAAAATGCAATGAGATACAGGGTGTTCCATTTAAAATAACAGAGTTGTTGCTACTTCACGATAGAAGCGGCAACGCCGCAGAGCTGAAAATATTTTAGATCCATAGACCAAGAGCAACTACGTGAGTAACCAAAATTTCTGAATGATCCTATGTCCCGTTCTCCATAAACGTCTAACGTACCATTGACCGTGAGTTACCTTGTATACCATGAGCACAAAGAAATCGGGTGACTAGTTTTCGAGATACAGGGTGTCAAAGATGAAAAGTGAAGCTTTCTGCTCAGAATTTTCAACAACTCCGAGAATTGACAAAACGCCCATTAATTCATGGAATAACATGCCTGAATGATGGTACAGAGCAAATTAGGTTAATGCGGTGAAATTGTATGGCATTTCAATGGCACATTCAATATAATCAAGAATCTCATATGCCATTAAAGAAATTAATTTCATGCTTACTATATTGGTCAACTGATCCTGCCAGATAGGATTTCTTGAAAGAACCCATTGGGTTTTATAAGATTTCTTTAGGTTCTGCTGTGGAAATTATAGCAATAACAGATTGCCCTTACCTTTCAGAAGCTGTTGTTTGACTTGTTGTTGAACTGCAGCTAACTGTTGTGGGGTAAAATCAGCCCCTTGCAGACCTTGCAGAACTATTCTTGGACCCTGTTGAGTTTGGATTACCTGGGCAGTTACACACTTGATGACCGTACCTGGTGGTTGACCAGCAAGAAGCTGTTCCAATGTTGCCTAAAAATAATAGTTACCTTATACATTCACATAACATGATATACCTACAGTCTGGAAAACTATGATAGAATAAAATCCGTATTTACATGACAATAATATATTTTTAAAAATTCTTGGGCAGGTTGATATTTATTTTTGTACATACAAATTTTCAACAACTTGTCGACTTCCTGCCTATGGATCAACCCCTTCAATATTTTAAATTGTACAAGGGGTCAAGCTATACCTCTTGAATATTTCCTTCAAACCTTCATTGTTTTTTATATTCCTCATTTTTAATATTTTCATGTAAATGTTATAACGTCAAATGATGAACTGAAAGACAATCATCAACCTTCAATCATCAAGTAAATGATACAGTGGAACATATCCAGAATATATTTTTTTCTCAAGTGATCTAAATAGATATACTGGTACAATGAACAGTTCATTGTACCAGTATATCACCTGATGAAGCTACTGTGTTAGCGAAACATGTCGTGTGTTTGAGAATTTTGTGGAAATCTTATCGTTTGTGAAGTTTTTACGTATACGAATTCGTTTGAAACAAACAGCCCATACCAAATACCTTGGTCAAGTCATGGAAACCATCCATTCTACATCTATTTTTTCTCCTGTTGGGAAATACCTTGGTATTTGGATTGATGAGAAATTAACATGAGCAAAGCATATTGACATCCTCATAGGAAAAGTATCTCCCATTATTGGAGCTTTAAGAAGATGTCCTAAACTTAGTACATATACACCAAATATTATTCTCTATTCACATATACTCAGTTGAATCAACTATCTCATAAATATTTGGGGATCTTGTTCGAAAAATAGTTTCAACAAAATTTCTGGTCTATATAAAAAGGCATTGGAAGTATTGTTTCGTCTTCCGTATGATACTCCACCAAATCAACTGTAGAAGGAAACAAACACATTTTCTTTGGAAGAGCACTTGTTAATCAATACTCTTAAAATTTCCTTTAATAGGATCGACAAAAAGCTTAAATCAAGTATTATATTAATTAGGAATTCCCAAACTCATGGTCATCACACTAGACAATATAACTTGTTTCATCTTGAAGCTGCAAGTTCTAAACTTGGACAAAAAAAGTTTACACATGAGGCGATTTCGAAATTCAATAAATTACCGGATGATATCAAAAACAGCCCAAATATTATACAATATATTTATATGCAAAGGAATGATGAAAGCTGAAAGACTATGAATTTTTGTTTTTTTTTTCTTCACTGTTTCTTTTTTTTCCCTTCTTGTTCACTATAATATGAGTACTGTTATTTTGAGATAAAACAATGATATGTAAGTTTTGTTTACTATTTGTAATTTCAATTATAAAACAGTCGATAATACTTCATGAAAGCACGTCTGCACACTGTCTGATCATTCATGTCATTCCTACTAGAAAATTTATTATACTTTGAATATGATTTTTATAAAATGTATCAATGAAGAAAAGAATGAAATAAATGGATAAATAAAAATCTTCAATTTCACTTCAACATATGTCACATACGTCCATCTGTCTTCATACGTATACGAATTGAATAGGAACGGTTCGAGAGTAGATCCCCTGGTCCACCATGCGATTGACCCGTACGTTAGTGTTGGGGGTCTTAGGTGATGGGCCCCACGTTTTCCCGAAAGCTCTTCTGCATGTCCAGTAGCAGAATATAGCCTTCTTGGTGTGATAACCCATATGCTCATTTCAGTTGGGCTTGGAGTAGATTGTGACTCCAAGACATTTGGTTAAGCCTTTGTATTGAAGACACCTTCCTGAGAGAAAAAGTCTTTGTATTGAAGACTCCTTCCTGAGAAAAAACTCTGGAAGTGTTCATATTTAAAGTTTCTTCATGATTAGCACCAGGTCTGCTTTTTCTGGATTCACTCTTAGCCCACCAGCAGAGCACAACTGTTCCACTTTCCTGAGAGCTTCCATTATGTCCTTGCTGCTCACACAATTGTTTACTGCTCATCAAGTTTCATTTGTTTGAAGATTATCATGTCATCAATGTACCCAAACAAGAATTTGTCCAACCTCTACAATTACTAGTATAATTAAACCTAGTCTATTTTTAATGTAATGCAATGCATTGTTTCTGTTCCCAATCATAAACACAGATGTAAATTATTTTTTGGTAATAATAAGGATGATAATTGTTTTAGATGTATGACAAACTGACATTTATCATACAGGGCGTGGAAAGAAATTCTGAATTGAGAAAAACCCAATCACGAATCTGCGATTGAAGGTCTATAAAAATAACAAGTTTCCATCGTTCAAGTTTGAACCCCTTGATTGGGTATGAAAGTATTGAAAAGGAATATTCTCAGATATATTATAAACATGAAAAAATGGATACATTTGAATAAATACATTGAGAATTCGCATTCTCTATGTGATGAAATTATTAATTCTTTCTCGGCATATTCAACAGAAAACAACTACTTTCCTGGCTATATGCCACGACGAACATTGAATTATATCAATTGAACATACACGATAGGAATTTGAGCATAAAATGAATATCGTCTGAAATTGAGAATTGACATTCTCTTCCAGAATCGGATGAATACTATGATGAATATAACGATATAAAAAATATATTACTTACCAAATTGGTATGAAAATTGGAATGTATGGGAGAAATATACTAGTATACATACTCTGTTCTTGTTGAGAATTTCTTTCCACGCCCTGTATGATAAATGTCAGTTTGTCATACATCTAAAACAATTGCCACCCACATGACTGGAGATAAGTCAACAAATTTTCATTCTCAGATAGATGTCAGTTCCACTATAGTTTTAGTTATATTATTATAGAAATGTGAAAATTGTGTATTAAATGAAGAATGGCTGAAGGAATGACTGGACTTCAGGTTACTGAGGAGAGTTTGAAACTCGAAATGAATTTTATTCGAATCAAAATCATCTAACCTATGTGAAAGAGATGTGCATATATCCCAAACATCATGGATACGGATGATTTTTGATAAATTCACGACTCAACAAGAACAGAGTATGTATACTAGTATATTTCTCCCATACATTCCAATTTTCATACCAATTTGGTAAGTAATATATTTTTTATATCGTTATATTCATCATAGTATTCATCCGATTCTGGAAGAGAATGTCAATTCTCAATTTCAGACGATATTCATTTTATGCTCAAATTCCTATCGTGTATGTTCAATTGATATAATTCAATGTTCGTCGTGGCATATAGCCAGGAAAGTAGTTGTTTTCTGTTGAATATGCCGAGAAAGAATTAATAATTTCATCACATAGAGAATGCGAATTCTCAATGTATTTATTCAAATGTATCCATTTTTTCATGTTTATAATATATCTGAGAATATTCCTTTTCAATAAGGATGATAATGTTTAGAAGCCTCAAACACTCACCGAATCTATCTGATTGCTATCCTGCACCTGAGCTTTCGCCTTCTTGGCCGGACTCGGCGGCACCACCGCTTTCTGGGGCGACTGCTGCTGCACCACCTGTGGCGCCACTTGTTGCTGCACCACCTGTGGCGCCACTTGTTGCTGCACCGCCACCTGTTGCAACGCCTGCTGCTGCGCCACCTGCTGCACGGGTTCAGCCGGCAGCCGGGACAGCTGTTTGGCTGGAGCCGGCTGCTGCACCTGCGCCTGCTGTATCGCCTGCGTGGTGATGGCGCCGGGCGTCAGCTGGGCGACCACTTGCGCCTGGTTGTTGCCCGTCGGCCGGATGAGCACCTGTTGGCCGTTGATGGTCGCCACTTGGACCTTGCCGGTGGCCAGCTGCTGGGCGAGGTTCTGGTTGTTGACCACTATTTGGTTCGTTATGACCTGCAGAGGAATACTTTGTTTCATATTTTTATGAAATCTATTGAACATAATTGATGAGTAAGTCTTTCTTGTTTGGTTGTGTAGCTAAAAAAATTACAAATTCCATAACTTATTTCATCTTGATGTCGCTTAATCACTCTGCTCTTTATCAATATGAAAAATAACCTGATAATGTAAAATATTGCAGATATATAATCAAATTCAAATATGAACTCTAAAAACGGACGAAGTAAATGATGATAATTCATGTGTTTCCCTTAAACAACTTCTAAAATATCGGTATTTGTTCACCAATATTTGAATTTGTTAACATTTGATATTTGATAGATTCAAAGAAAGTTCGACTGGCCAAGGACGAAGGCGTTCAGTCCTCGGAACCTAGAGTATCTAAACAATTCGAATCGAAAATTACCCAATATGTTTTTAATTAGCTGTGTTTCGTCTATTGGTGGGAAAGTTCAAAATAATTCGAAATTCTTTTAAAAAAATCAAAATGTTCAGTTCATAATCATGGTTTTTGTTGGTATGAGTAGCATTTATCAACGAGTCCAAAAAAGTATACTTGAGTAGAAAACACAAGTGTATACCATATTATCCTTAAACTTGTGATATAATTGTATCATTATTGTAGTTAACTACTACCCCATACCAGAAGTAAATAGGTCAGCTTTATTCAATTTTACTAACCACAATATCATCGTTTATCAATGAACAATTATTTCTGTATCAATCAGTTTCTCAATTCTCGAGTTTCATTAGTGAGAAATTTATATCCACAAAGACAATTAAAAAGACGTTTAAAAAATTACTTCTAGTTGTATTCAACGACTGCCGTAGGTATACAACCAACCGGAAAAAACTTTCTAAATATTAGCAATTCTCACTCTTGAAATTCTGGGCGCTATGGCTATTTTAGACAATATGTTGCCACCCGGTCACCAGAGTTCAAGATTTTAGTGAACCTGAACTTCTGATGAGTGCCTTAATCCACTGATTTTGGTAGCGAAACCCGTACTAAAAATAGGATATGAGTTCGAAGAATGACCTGAACAACGAAAAAAAAATCAAGATTCACATGAATCTGCAGATTATTCATGACTGCACAAACATCCCTCAACAAAAAGTTGTCATAAATATCATAAACTGAGAAGAAGAACATGGTCGTTGTTTGATTCCCAATGTTCAAGGCACACAATAATAATTCAGACCCGACACAGGAATCCTACACGATATTCCTCACCTGTTGCCCGTTCTGATTGGTGGTGATGACCTGATTGGTGCCCAATACGACCTGCTGTTGCAGCACTTGGCCACCAGGCCCGACCAGCACGCTCCCCTGGCCCAGTTTCTGCACGAGCGGCGTTCCCTGTTTGACCAGCACTTGCTGTTGCTGCGGCTGCTGCTGCTGGACCTTCAAAGGGCTCTGCTGGACTTGCGGTTGTCCGACGACGGGCTTAGGAGATGACTGGACGATGGGTTTGGCTAGTCATAGAATTCGTGTTTCAATTATGCTGTGCTTTGATGGTTGATGACGTTTTATCAAATATTATTTTGCTTGATAGTCCGTCAACATGACAATGATATGAGACAAATTGTAGTATACAAGATGTGCTGAAGACATGTTGGTAACGACATAATTTTGATTTAAAAAAAAAAATCGTTTTGATAATATCTTGATAGAATTCTACTTGAATTATGACGAATATAAATTTGCTGATGTGAAGGGTGTTTATTAAGAACTCGTTTATGGAGAAAACCTTTGACTGATTTCCAGATGAGTATCAGCAGAGTATCCATACTAATAAGGGCTAACATAATTTATTGCCCACCAGCTCGCGCTACTGAAACGTGGGGTCAGAGTTGGTTAATAATATACTTCTCTTTTCGTATCATTTTGCCTCTTCCTACGGTATCTTCTTCTCCGTCAATGTAAGAATTGGAATAAAAACGTGAATCTACACAATTCTTGCCATAACTTGAGATTTTTATTTGTTGGCATATTCTACATAATTTTTTCTGAATACTTAAGAATTTAGATAAAACAGGTCACAGCATTAAGGGATATTCGGCAAAATTTTGAGATTTTTGACTTTGACATTGAATTTACCTGTTAGTAACGCCAACTGGTAAGACTGAAAATGTTCCAGCACGGTTTTTGGTTTTTATTTTCCAATAATTTGGTGAATGTGATAACACATGACATGACACAATATTTTTTTCATTTATTTCTCAAAAACTCGTTTCTCATTCAAAATTGACTTGATAATAGGTATTTCCATTGAAAAATGACAAAAATCTAAGTGATATTTATAGTTCATCGTTCAAGTTTCTATGCTATCAAAAAATAATGTGATCTGAAATCCAATTAACGAAAATTATTGGAAATGTGAGTAGATGTAACCTTAATTTTGTATTTTTCAACATTCCAGTTAATTGACCTGCCCATCGCTATTGATCAATCTTCAGAAAACACCAACATTCTTTTCATCACAACCTGTATAAAACTTTCTAGATACTGGCTCTATTCCGAATTCAACTGTCAGTAGTATAGGTAGTTCCACTTACTTTGCTGTATTCTGGTGTTTTGAAACTGAGTTAAAATTCAGAAACAGTTTCCAAGTATTGAACTGCACTACCATTTCATGGTCCTCAATTTCAGCAGATAACTGAGCCAAAAAGTTTAATAATAACTAGTGCGTCGACTCGTATTTGGAACATAAAAGCCGTAGATTATTTACTTGAAAGATGATTTCAGAATATAGCTCTCACTAAACAAAAATAAAAATACGAAAATACCTGCAATTCTGGAAGGTAAAAGGAAACTCTTCTCAATATAACACTACAAATTTCCACATCCCAATCCCCGTTTTTCGATTACAACAATCAGATCTCATGCATTTCGATTACAACAATCAGCTCTCATGCATTTCAACCACACATTTCAATCCTATACAGATTCAATGAAATTAGATGACCAAATTTTCTACCAACGTTGAAATTTGTCAACAAACTCGTAGCAGCAAAATTCCTGTTGCACAGTAGACTGAACCTATGGTCCGTTTGTGGTCAAGTCAGAGAATAGCTATAAGTCTGAAGAGTATCTCCCATGCAAATGGGTCCCAAAAGACAAATTCTAATAATTAATATTAGATAGTATCATTTTTCTTTATGTTTTGAATTTACCAAATAATTTTCGTATCAAGAACTAATCAAGTTCTGCTAGGTGATATATCGGCTCATTATAGGTTATACTTCGATGTCAGCGGTTTCTCTTGAAATAACTTACATTGAATTATGAGGCTCCTTATGGTACAATATTTATGGAAACGAGAATGCACAGCCATAGTAATATGAACTCTTCATAATGTTAATCTTCCATTCGGTGATTTTTCACATACATCACGTCGACTAATATAGCCAGCACCAGATAAATAAAAGTTCGTGCAATTCTAGAAAAAAACTAAAAACTATAAATTGTCACAACCCAAGCAGAAATTCATGCATTTCAAAGGCATCGCGACTCTACCTGGAACAAACGCCTGTTTGACGGCAGCTTTGGCGGCGCTGTTGGGCGCCGCGGCGAGCTCGGAAGATTGCAATTGTAAGATGGTGAGCACCTGCAATTTGCCGTCGGGGTATTGGACGGGCAGGAGGCTTTTTACGGTGATTTGGCAGGATTATCCCCCCACCATTCGCGATTCAATTCATTTATACGTGTTTGGCGTTAAGGAAAGTTAGCGAATTATTTTAATGATTTTTGAATGAATGGCGTTGTAAATCTATCATTATTTAGTCTATTTATGAAAATGATAATGCACATGCAGCCGCAATATGAACTCTAAGTATTTCTTTTATTCACGGATTTTTAACCTACGTCACGTGGACTGATATAGCCAGAGTGTCACACCAGATAAATCAAAATTCGTGCAATTCAAAAATAACACAAAAAACTATCAATTGCCACAACCCAAGCAGATATTCATGCATTTCAAAACCATCGCGACTCTACCTGGAACGAACGTCTGTTTGACGGCAGCTTTGGCGGCGCTGTTGGGCGCCGCGACTGGCGCTTTGACAGGCGTCGGGGCGAGCCCGGAAGATTGCAATTGCGAGGTGGTGAGCACCTGCAATTTGCCGTCCGGGTACTGGACGAGCTGTTGGCCGGGCAAGAGGCCCTTCACGGTGATGCGGCCGTCGGGGGTGCGCATTATTTGCACCCGCTGCGGCGTGTCTTTGACGGGCGTTTGTTGTTGGATGACGGGTGGTGGTGGGTTTGTTGTTGGTGTGGTGGTGGCGATGGTGGTGGTCGCTGCACAAAAATATGAATGAAAAACAAAAAAGTGTATGATGTGGTACACAGGGTCCCGCCGTTTTCATAGGGACAGGATTGCTATTTCCTCCTAAATGGTGAGAGATAGAGAGTTGATCAAACTAAAAGGAATATGCCGTTTCGCCAAACTGAAGATTTCAGCCGTTTCGAATATATTTTAGAGAAACTGGAATCTATTAGACTATTAGAGAATAAAATTTCCAACCATTTTCAGTTGCCATTATATTGGTTAGGATTTGCTTGTGAGCATTCCTCCAAATATTATGCAAGTGTTTTCTAAGCTCCGCTTCGCACAGCGGTAAACTCGACGCATCAACATTCTTGTTTATTTTAACAAAACTTCTTTATGAAATAAATGTTCATATACAGGGTGTCCCGTAAAGACCACGTCAAACCTAGGGAGAATGTAGATCAAAGGATAATCCCTACGCGCTTCGAACAACCGACCGTATTCGATAGATATACACTTTGAGCGAGTGCTGACTACCTCCGTTCCATCAATTTGTGGTCTGGCTATTTTTTATTACATTATTTACAATGAAGCAGTGTTTCATGCGTTCCACAATAATGGAGCCTGACCACTTTCTCCCGTTTCTATATTATAAACTAGTTTCTCGCCAATTTTCACTCATTACCAAACACTTGTAGAACATGTCGTTATTTTACATTCATCGAAGCGCGCCGCCACGAGTTGTTCCACTACCTGTCCTTGCGGGGGGGTGCTGACTCATGTACACCCTCAATACTGAATCATATTGAATTATGAGCCATTATCAAACTCTTGCCGATTTTTGCCGCCAGCTCATAGATTATAACAAATACCTTCAATACTCATTATAGGTAGAGTGCCTCGACAATCTCATTTTTCGTTCTTTAACGAGTGTGGGCGCACTTGTCATGATATTAAACAGCTGAACACAAAACATGAGACACAAATATGTTTTATAAGAGATGGAATGTAATTTTTCTCTACCCCTTCATTGAAAGAGTGCAGACATATTATTATTTGAAACCCTAACATTGGCACATAATGCTCACTGTGTAGTTATAACATTATTATGTGGATGCATTTATTTCTATGAAATGATTATTGCAATTCCAAGCTTCAACAAACACTTGAAATGTCGTCTCGTCTTTGGGCAAACCATCATTCTTAGAATTTTTGAAATTTGTTACCTAACAAGATATGATCAAAAACATTTTTGCGAGGACACCTATTGAATTTTCAGTGGTGGTGGTTGGTTGCATAATAATGGGGCATGTTATGAATGGCTATGAAGAAGTATTGATACTGTCCTATTCAATGGTATAAAAAACAAATATGGCGCCCATTATAAGAACTGAAGTTGCATGGTAAATTTCTGAAAATGATGAAGATAGAATATTTCTGACAATCCCAATTTCTTTGTCATGATTAATTATTATTATTACCTGTTTATGCAAAATTTTCGATTTGTTCCTCTAATATTAACCAGGAAAATAAAAACAAAATCAGATATTTTCAGTGTTTTCATAAACTTTTAAGAAAAGCTGATTTGAACATATTGGAGAAGTTAGAATTACGCAACTTTTGCCTAATTTGATCAACTTTCTATCTCCTACCGTTCAGGAGATAGCAAAACTATCCCTACGAATTTGGTGGAACTCTGTATAGTGTGTCTTTATGTTATTATATAGGCCGATAGAGTTCTGATTCTAATTTCTGCTGTTTTGCTAAGACACCTATACCAATCTAGATTCCTCAGGATATGGTGCAAATTCTATTTCTCAAATAACTTGACTATAGGAAGGGCTATTCGCGATAGAAAATAAGCGTACGCCACCAATCCGAGTTCTTGAAAGCTGTCAAAGCGTCATTGGTTCACATTTGTTTCTTGTTTGTGCTTATTGGTCATATCATCAAAACGAACCGCTCAGAAGTGTTCAAGTTGCTGCCGTCAGGTGGGGCGACGTGTTATTTTCTATCGCTAGTATGGAATAGATCTCCCATCCTTATACATAAATCAATACTCATCACCATTCTTCACTATTTCCAGACTTTATATGTGTCTAAATTTCAACACTATCAACTTGATTTATGTATTTTGATGGTTATCTAAACATATATCCGGCCACACTTGATTCATTCGATCTAGAATACTTTGAATGTGTAAGATGTTCTTTGAACCTAGTTTTAATGGGTCTCCTGGTTTGGCCAACATATTTTGAAGGTGAATACTATATTCTAGGTAATATGTTGTATTTTTCATAATGAGCGTATTGAAAAACAGATAAATTGAATTTCTAAGAAAAGAAAAATAAACACTCACCAGTTTGTTGAAGCTGCATAGTCTGCGGCACCTGATTGGGTGCCTTAATAAGACTCTGCTGTGTGGTTGTCAAATTCTTGGGCAGAATATTTGCAGTACCCGTTATTACCCTTGTGGTACCATCCGGTCCTTTGGTCATGAGAATTCTCCTACCAGCCAATTTGGTGGTGTTGGAAGTTAGAAGAGAAGTGAGCGTGTTTTTGCCGCTGACAACTGCCTGTCCAGGCATGATGATGTTTTTCACGATTTTCATTTGGCCATCTGCCATGGTTGAAACTAAGGAATGATATAGAAAATGAGATAAGAGGTCTAACTCATGATTGTGTTTTCATAGAACACATCTAAAATATGTGATGTGAAGCTAAAAATTGCGTGCATTACAAATAATACTATCAACAAAAACTTATCAAGCTTCAGGTTCTTTCAAAAATTCAAGCATCATTTGTACGAAAACTTTTGTTCAGAACAGCGTTATGCTAAACTCTATGATGCCAAATAAAATGTTGAATATGGGTAATTCCAATCAATATATCCTTTCTTTAGCATAATGACTTCAAGATTTATGGTTCTTCAAACTCACATTACGTGAATGCTATTTTTTGTATTTAATTTTCTTCAAAATCATTCATTTTGTCAATATTGACAAGGAACAAAATCAATATTAGATATGCTTTATTTGTATTTTTTATTCATCAGAGTTTGAATTTTCTCCGTCCACTAAAGTGACTGACTAAACTATGTCATTTACTATACAGGGCGTTTGGTTCACCGACGTATGTCTGGAAGGAGGTGGTAGATAATGTAATCTTGAACATTTTTAAAGATATATTCTATCATACAAAGTGTTACACTTTTCAAGAAATTATCGTTTATAAATTACTATTATTAGATGTTACTAAAATCGTTTACTAAAATCTAACAAGCCAAAACATTTTTTCATCACATTTAGATCTCCTTATGTGTTCAATATCAACTTTTCAAGAAAAAAATATACACGCCCATAAAATGTTTGACAAAACGATGATATCTCGAAATTCGAAACACTTTGTATGAAAGGATATATGGTAAAATAAGTTTGAAATGTTCTTACCTATCAGTCACTTTCAGATATACGCCGGTGAACCAAACATCCTGTATAATAGCGATGCAACTTATTTGGAATTGGAAAAAAAAAACAATTTATTTTCTTTAAATCCTTAAAGTTTTCAATAGCTGGTTATATTGATTGTTCTAGATTTTTGGGATTTTCTTTCTTTTTCTATATGTGTAAGGTCCAATCAGATGATTTGCTCAAAAATGTAACTGCTTGAAATTTCACAACTACAAAACTTCAATCACATCTACAATGTCGGTAAAAATAGTTTGAAATTCTATCTAAAATGATGTATACACAATTGCACGAGGTTTGAAAGGAAATAAATATTTTCAATTCAATAGTTAATACTTCAAATAATCCGCAAATAATTAAGCAAGAAATTTTGTGATAACTTCCAATTCAAAGACTTGAAGAATTCAAGGATATTGAAGCACTCTATTGACTGCTGCTTGCAAAGGAGCATAAAAAAGGAAAAAAACACGAAAACGAAATTATTTTCAGATTAACCAAACATCATACTCACACTAGATAGGCACCGAAATGTAAGAATGGGCAACGATAAGTTGGGAACGAACAGAGCGGTGATAATCCGCTGTGTCCATCTATTGGTGATAATCCGCTGTGCACATCTATTCAATATAACGCCCCGTATTTCACCGACTCGGGTATCAATATTTGGTTAACGAATCGGCACAGCCGATTAGCCGCCGGTCTGTCAGATTCCATCGGAGCGTTGCCAATTTTTACACAGGCGTTGACTATCTAGTGTGTGTATCATCTAGGGATTAACTAGCCTTCCAATAGTATTTCAACAGCTAAATTGTAGAAAATAAATTTACTTTTGATATTCTAAACACAGTCATGCAAAACGTCTCATCCATATTGCTATCTATTTAGAATGCATATTTTCAAAAATGAAGTCCTAATCACAAGAAACAATCATACAACATCCACATTGCAGAATAATTATTATTCTTAGCCTACCTTTCGGTTGTATGGATGGTAATGACGAAGCAATAGTGGTTGATGTTGGTTTTGTTGTAGTGGTAATTGTGGCAGTAGTGGTAGCAGCTTTCAAATAAAAAATCATAATATATGAAACTATGATATCAAACTTAGCTAAATTATATGCTCTCAACAATTATTAGAACTATTATTAAATTAGGCATAACTTGGAATGATATATGAAATCATCTTCTTCTCAGTTTTATAAAGGATTCCAGGAGCTTATGAAAACTAATAAGTTTTATACACCTTCAATAAGGAGTTATAAAGCACCCATGGAAATAATAATCAAAACCGTTCGTCGATTTGAGATACAGGGTCGTAACGTTGGAAATATTACTATCATCATCTTGTCTAGCCAGTGACTAGTAAATGCTCAGAAAGACGAATGGAAGAATGGAATGGAAGAGCAAGTTCTGATTACGTCACTCTCACTGGTGAAATGATCTGAACTTGAATTCTGCCGTTTGATAGGTATACAGTTCTCAGCTCTCTATCATTTTTCATTTATTTTGTATTTATCTATACCTATAAATACCAATAAAATCCATTATTATTATTATTATTATTAAATGATACAGGCTGTTTCGTCTAAACCGCACATAAGACGTATTTGGAGTTCTTAACTTGACACTAATCTGAAAATTTGTATTCAGGGGTTATCAATTGAGGCCTTTTCAATGAAAATATCTTCAAGATGGCGGCACTTCCGGTTGATCCGGAAGTGGCATCAATTTCGATATTCTCAAACGGAACACCCTGTATATTATTGCATTCATAGATTCTCCCTGAAAAGCTGATTTCATCAATTTATCATTCTGGGGGTCTAGCGGGAATGATTACAGAGATAAAGGGTGTTCAAAATGGCGATTTATCAACTTTAGGATTATTTTGTGTCAAATCTATTCATTTTTGGTCAAAACGGCTTACATGTCTCTATCTCAACTTTTCAATCACTATCTACTGACATTTAATTTGAACAGATCAGACTTATGAGTCCTGAACCACCCTGAATTTGTTCCAATTAAGTAGTAGTAATTCAAAAGTTAAGATAGGGACATGAAAACTGTTTTGACTAATAATGAATAGTGTTTGGGTCTTTTTCACTGAATAAAAATGTTCAATCCGACTCCCCCAGTAAAGACGCCGTAGATCAGATGAGTGCAGCTGTCAGCGGCACGGTTTTGATCTGGAAATATCAAACACCCGACGGAGACAGAGGTAACTGATTTATCAATTCTTTCAACTGTGGCCACAGAACTGAAGTGACTTATTCAATAGTTTAATAGTTTTACACAACTAGAACTAGTCAACCTCTCTGTTTAGTACTTGTATGCTTTTTTCCTTGAAAACAACTACTGTATTATAGTTCACTTTCTATCCCCAACACGCTGAATGTTCCCTTTCGTATGTCCCAATTATAAGTATAAAAGGAACTTAATATTGACAGTATCGATAATATAGATGATTAATAAAAAATTTAGATTTATGGATATCTATGAAATCGGAAATATCGACAATTTTGATAATATCAATAAACCGATAATATCGATGCGTTGTGAGAATTGATAATCAAAAATCACTATCGCCCACCCCTATACTGGGTAATTCAAATTCCCACCATTGGGATCTTGGAAAATATAGGAGATATGAAGATGCTTGAATTAGGGCAAAGTTGCACAGTTGCACATTTATGTGACTAACAATATGCTGTTGAGAACATTTCAGAATTCCGAGTATTTCCAGAGATTTACGAAAAAAAGTGAAATTTTGGTAATCATTTTTATATTTTTCTGGCAATACTTGTTCAAGAATATCAAACTAAATAGCACATTTACATTGCCACTATATGATGACATTTTCAGATTCCCTATCCGACGTTTCATCTTTATGCCACAATCATCAACTTTATTTTTTCTTATAGGAGCCAAATTGGATTCTCGTTAATAATAATTGAAAAATCGGCAGTGTGAATGTGCTTGAAATTTTTATATTCTTGTACAAATAAGGCCAGTAAAAAATTAAAAATGGTTCACATGTCTATTTTTTTCGTATATCTGCGGAAATACTCGGAATTTAAAAATTTTGTCGACGGCGAAATTTTAGTCACATAAATGCGCAACTTTGCCCTAATTTCACCATCTTGGTATCTCCTATAACTATAATGATAAAATGATAAAGATGGAAAGCCCTAATTTCGAGTGACAATGGAAAATGAAAAAACTCCACCGCCCTTTGTGAGAGTCGAACTCACAATCTCTGGGTTACATGCCCAACTCCTATTATTTCCGAGATCCCAATGTAGCCCAGTAATTTTTCCGCCTGAACATATGGGGGTAGTATGCGTCAAATCCCGTAGTTCTGATTTTTTGCAGACTTGTTCATGATGTTGGCCTAATGAATGATCCAAGTTTGTGACCTCGAGCACCGAACGCAACTTTGTCAAATATCGAAAAAAAAACGCGAAATAATCTTAAACTTTTCAAATTTTAGCGATTATAACCCTGAAGGACTAGTTTTTGAAAAAAAATCTTTCAGGACGTTTTTAAAGCTGATCAAATTTGCTACAATATGCTACAAGAACTGTCTCTATAGACCCAATAGTTTTAGAGATTAGGCCTTTCAAAGTTTATAATTTTTTTCGAACTTCGCAATTTTTTGCAATGTTTTAGGCGTCACTCGAATATACTCTAGCGGAATGAAGTTTCAATTACCTCCGACGGAGTGTGCTAGTACTGTTCGTGTGTAGTCTAGCAAGATGGCGCCTGGTTGTAGAGCCATCACATATAATAAGTATTGGTTTTCTCTCAGGTACCTGCTACACATCCTTTGGTTTCTCATGATTGATTCTGTTGTTATATCCTTTCTCTTGATGGCTGCTATCCACATTTCTCTTCTTATTCTTGATAGATCTTTTATCTGTGGATAATGCAAAGAGTTTTTCACAGAATCACAGTAGGAATGTGAAAAAACTAAGCAAATTTTCCCGATCTGCACGGCTTCCACTATCCACCACAATACACGTTACCCGCAGTTTTCCTTTAAAATCATATTGAGTTGTAGTAGTAGATATCCCAGAAGGCGACGATCTGTCCGATGTTGAAATGGAGGATGACTTGTGGGCATCCCAATACGTCGATCCAGATCCAGACGAACCTCAACCGGGACTTTCCAAGAAGGCTAAATTATTCAAATTTTTTGATATTTAATATCACTCTATTTCCTAACAAATAAACTCATTAACTTTTGTTGTACTTATCTTTTTTATTTCATTATTCGTAGCTCAGCATAAACATCCTCGTTCACACTCCTCATTTTCTTTCTTATCATCTCATCATGAAAGTACAGGGCTTCGATTGTATAATCAGGGTGGTAATTCAATCAGAACGACAGGATTGCAAAAAATTGCGAAGTTTGAAAACAATGATAAACTTTGAAAGGCTCAATCTCGGAAACTAATGAGTCTACAGAGACAGTTTTTATATCATATTGTAGCAAATTTGGTCTACTTTAAAAACGTTCTGGAAGATTTTTTTTTCAAAAACTAGTCCTTCATGGTCATGATCGCCAAAAACTAGAAAAAAAAACGATTTTTTCGCAGTTTTTTCGATTTTTGACAAAGTTGCGTTCGGCGCTCAAGGTCACAAACTTGGATTATTCATTAGGTCACCATCATGAACAAGTCTGAAAAAATTCAGAACTACTAGATTTGACGCATACTGTGATGTATAAAGTTACTGGATTAATGTTGGTCCTCGGACTTAAATTTCCCCCTTACGCCACCCTCCCAAATTTCTCAAGCATTCCGTGAGAGTCAATGTACCGCGCGACCCCCAGCAAAACTCACCGTGACCCGTCGTCCCGACCACCTCCAGCCCCGCCCCCTTGACGATGCTGCCGCCCTTCACCTCGAGGGCGGCGCGCTTCTGCTGGTGCGCCGCCCTCTGCAGCCGCAGCTGCTGCTCCATCTTCTCCTTGATCTCCTCGGCGGTCGCTTTGCCGCTCACGGCTGCCTTGACGGCGACGACGTCGCCGACGGCGGCCTCAAGGGCGGGCTTGGTGGGGGGCAGGGTGCCCGTGCGGCTCCTGGTGATCACCTGCTGGGCGGCCTTCTCGACCCTGCGGAAGGTGGGAGAGTGAGTTTGACAGAGAGCAGGATCCGTTCATAAACATATACGGATAACAAGGATCTCCAAGTGAAGCCAAAAAATAAAATGAATGACAGTCTGCGAGCGCAACTGTTTCACAGCGCATGCGTCATCTAAAATTAAGAAAAGACATCAGTTTGCAGAATTCCTATCAGCAGGCGATGGCTTTGTAATGAACATATGGGTATTGATGGATATGAGTATCAAAACTTTCGTGAAATGTACGACATAACCTAAAATTCAACGTAATCTGAAGACTCAGGCAAGAAATCATGAATGGAATTCATATTTGCGAAGTTTTGGTGGTTTTGATGAAGCAAACAGCTTTAGTTCGCGGTTTTGGAACGAGTTTTTGTCTCAGAATACTTCGAATAATGGCCAACAAGTGCAAGACATTATAAACGTACAAATGTACAGCTTCCCAACAGATGCAAAATTATAAGAAGTGCGGCAGAACATTACACAAATTGGGAAGCCCATTTACAGATTTATATGCCGTCTGTAGCAGACACGTCTTAGAAACAGATTATGCAGGTTATTTCTTCCATTTTGAGAAAAAAAAATTTCTACTACTGCTATGGAAAGTACCGCATTTTTCATAGCTAACTTAGTTTCAAAACCATGTATTGCTCATACTGTGAGAAATATTTTTTCTCACGGCACTTTGCCAACACCACATACGTTTCCATGGAGAATCAACAAAAATCGACCAAAACTTGGCTGCTGTTCAGCTTTGAATAGTTGTCACAACTGTCAGAAGAAGTTTTTTATATTCTTTAGGGTAGTTCTCATTAGTGCTTTTGATAGAAATCGCATTTTCCATCAAACATTATTCCAACAATTCATAATAAATAATGTGATGTATATACCCAGATGTGACGATTTTGATAAATACACCGCCAGAGACAGAGATAATGGAAGAAGCTGCGAAAGTTGGATTTGTTTCCGGAAATTTCAAGAAAAAAGTATAAATTGGCATAAACAAAAAATGTATGGAATCTAGAAAAATACAGAAATGAAATCTTTTTCGGAAAGTGTACTTTTTTGAAATACTTTGAGGAACTAGGAAAGGCGTCTACTATTACTACATTACTTGGATTCTTTGAATAAGTGCAGTTGTAGAAAAAGTATAGTGTGCAACATGTGGGGAAAAGCACTTTTCTCACTCGTGTGTTTGCATCACTCGCCCTTCAGGCTCGTGCCACAAACTTTCACACTCGTGAAAAAAGTTGAACAATTCCCACTTGTTGCACATTTTTAACACGTTTACTGCCATGTCGGTCTATAGGACCGAGAAAAAAATATCCTGACGTGCCGCCTCGGTCTCATACACCGGGATTGAGGTTGATACACTAGGCCAGGGATGGGGAAATGGCGGACCGCGGGTCAAATCCGGCCCGCGACATGATTCGATACAATATTGCCCTGTGAGCAATGAAATAACTGAATTATTGCGACAACAATCGAATATGGACAACTTGGAAATAATTGAAGACTCACAATGGATTTCGGACTTCGCATTCTTCATAGATTTACTTGAATGCCTAAACAAATTGAATAGAAGCATTCAAGGCAAAAATCTGTTCCTTGACAAAGCCTGGACCCAAATAAAGGCGTTCAAGTTGTAGTTTGTTTACAACGCAAATTGCACCATTGCACAAAGAAATCTCGCCCATTTTCCCAGGTTCCAGACCGTTGGTGAATTGACTAATGATAAAGTTAATTTTTGTGTAAGTCAGCTCAATCGCTTGAAAAACAAGCTCATAAGGAGATTTGAAGCTTTCAAGAATATAGAAAATGACTTGAAAATATTTTCTCATCTATTTGCCGTTGATTGTGAGCAAATTGCAGTTCCAACTCGAAGTAATCGAACTACAATGTGATGAAACTCTGAAACAGCTATTCAACAACTCATCAAAGCTTGATTTTTATAAAATTTTACTGAAATCTAATTTCCCAAATTCAATAAAACACGCTCACAGAATCATGTCCATGTTTGGGTCTTCATAAATGTGTGAGCAGGTATTTTCTACAATGCGTAAAAATGTTCTCAGAAATAAGATGACTGACGAACATCTTTAATGCGTTTTGCGGATATCAGTTCGAGTGAAATAGAGCCAAAATTCGATGGCATGATTAATAAACAATCAGAATATCATTTGTCACACCAACCTTCTACTTTCAAATATTAGTTAAATTGTTAATTGTAATAAATTATATTCGGCCCGTCAAAGTGTTGTGTTATTTCATACGGCCCCACTCTCAATCTATTTCCCCATCCCTGCACTAGGCCGACTCGGCCTATGAGACCGAGTCAATTAAACGACTCGAGAAGCCGTCGGTCTGAATTGTTGTCAATAATATTGCGGAGAGTGACCGAGACGGCTTCAGTGACAAGTTTGCATTACAAATCAACTTTATCAGACACACAGACCGAGTCGACGTGGCATGCAAATCAGTATGTAGTACACAGAATGTTTGGTAGGCCGATACTGTGGAAGAAACGTTTATTCATTGGATAAAATGTAACAAAATTGTCTTTTAGTAAATATAATCGAATATAAGTGTTCCAAGAATAAGTGCGTAATCTACATACAGGGTGTCTGTAAAAGGTTGGGACATGGCTCGGCTGTGGACTCCTGGGATAAAAACAAGTTGATTTATGCCAACTTACCTATATCCAAAATCATCTCGTTGAGTTAGTACTAGGCGTTGAAGTTTTTTTGAAAAAAAATAATTTTGCTCATGAAAAGAGCAGGCTGAGATCGATTCTCATAATTTCTGGCATGGCATGTTCTTTGACTGTAAGTCACGTTTTGGGATGTTTTTGATCATCATCAGTGACCTGCAAGTGTTTCAAACAACCATGTTGCCGTACAAATTTGGTGATAACTTTTCAGAGGTCGGACTGGAAACTCCCAGTTTTTTTTTTTTTCAGAAAGATATTCCCTTCAGAAATATTTTCTGTATCGTGTTAATTTTTGATTAGTCTCGAGGTTCATTTGCAAATAAATAATTTCTGATCTGATGCATCCTGTGCATTTTTGAAAATTAATCTAATTAGTCGGACTGTTTATTGATCATGGCTACAATGTATTCTTATTGTAAACAAACTGATATGTTGCTGGTCCTCGCGGGCTTTACAAGAACTCTCGCGTTACAAATTTAGCGATAACTATTCAGTACCTAAGGTGAGTACTTAAACGCCTTGTACCAACTCAACGAAACGATTTTGGATATAGGTAAGTTGGCTAAAATCAACTTATTTTCATCCCAGGAGTCTATAGTCAAGCCATGTCCCAACCAGATTATTTTTCTAAAAATTGCATAAGATACCTCAGATCGAGACTTATCAAAAACTAACACGATACAAAAAATATTTCTGAAGGGAATATCTTTCTGGAAAAAAAACTGGAAGTTTCCAGTCTGACCTCTGAAAAGTTATCACCAAATTTGTACGGCAACATGGTTGTTTGAAACACTCGCAGGTCACTGATGATGATGAAAAACATCTCAAAACGTGAGTTGCAGTCACAGATTATGCCATGCCAAAAATTATGAGAATCGATCTCAGCCTACTCTTTTTATGAACAAAATTATTTTATTTTTTTACAAAAAACTTCACGCCTTGTACCAACTCAACGAGGCGATTTTGGATATGGGTAAGTTGGCCTAAATCAACTTGTTTTCATCCCAGGAGTCCACAGCCGAGCCATGTCCCAACCTTTTACAGACACCCTGTATATTCTCATGAAATTTTTTGTAACAATCCAGGAAAAATACTGGTTCTTCAGGACATACTTTACAGAAGGTGCGTTATTCATTTCAAATTAGGAGCTGATCTCTATCCTCTGACTCAGTGAATTCATACGATCTCGAAATCTGCTCATTTTCTAAACTAACAAATATCACTTACATCCACCGAACATGAAATGAACAATGAGCGACTCCACCCACCAGTGTACATACAACAATCGGGATACACGTGACACATTCAAAAAAGAAAGTTAAGAGAAGTATTTTGTACTAGACCACTAGACCGAGGCCGAAGTCGGCCGGACCGAGCTGCCAGACCGACGCGGCGTACACAGGTATACATGTATTAACGAGTGCCGAGTGGGTCTATAAGAATTTTTGAATTTTTAGAATCCAAGGTCCCAATCATCAAAAATGTCAACGATGGTCTATCTTCTGTAGGCTTAAGCTACATATCGTCACTGATGGTTTCTGGGACAAATTTTTGAATTTTGCTTCGGCTCTAATACCAAAAGTGTGACGATGAGCCCGGCAGTCAACGTATTAAGCAAAGTATCTTCAATCAGGATTTGATTACAATGTGTTATACAGGGTGTTACAAATTCGTGGCTAAGCATGGGGATCTCGGTAACCTTATGAGATACAGTATGTTTTATGAATGATAATTGATAAGTGAAACTAAAATCACAATCATAAGCATACTGTATAGTCTAATATTATTGTAACCTCAATATAATATTCCCAAATAGTACCAAGAAAATTATCAAAATATCATACCAGTATGACAATTTATGTGCTCCTGACAAAAAAGGTAATAATGGTAACATAATATTTTGTTTCTTCTTACTATTACCATGACTTGGTAAATACTAGTACTAGTTCTACCACACCTATTTTTTCAGGATATTGATATTCAACTATTTTTCAATTAAATATTCAATTTTCAGATTGAAACTAATCAAAATTAGTCATGTTTTGAAACATATTTACAATAGCGATTTTTCAAGATATAAAGATTCCAAGACTTAAATCTAGTGCAGATGCTTTGTTCAGTTTCACAAATAATACCTGACTGAACTTTTAAAATCAGCATGGATAATAACAATGTAAAAGGTGTAAGTTTTATTAGCTAGAAAATGATTGGAACCCGAGGAAAACAAACAATATCACTTACTTTTCTCCATACTGCTTTATTTCCCACAGTTCCAATTTTTCCTCATCTACCCATTCTTCACTAACTTGAGGATCCATGTTTTGTGGCGACTCTGGTCGTTTTCTTTTTCTCAATCCACTTCTAATTGAGGTGACCTCTGAAAATATAAGTGATTCTTTAAAATATTTCATGGGATTCAACATTAACAGCACTAATATCAAAAATCATTCAAGGGTATGGTAGCCATCAGATGCAAGTAAGAGACTATCCTATCTCTTTAACCATCACTGTAAAAACTCAAGATTGAATGCCTCTGAAAAAATAATGTCCCTATTCCGGAACGAGTTGATTTTTCTCTCAAAATTGACTGATGTCATACTTTTCATTGCTTCAAATTTTAAAATCCAACATAATCCATCCTTATTTGTTTCAAAATGCACAGGCGCAAACTGTGACACTTCAAATTAAAGCCAAACTTCATAAAATTGATTGATCAGGCTGTGCAGGAATCTTTAAAAAAAATATCCACACTGTGACCACTGAAGAACATATTGTATTATTAATGGTATTTTATTCCTTGATACCATATCTATCATTCTAGATGAAATTCCTTTTCAACAAACTGTCATAAGATGACAGACAATTCTATTCAAAATGGCAGGAAAATTAAAAAATTACAGAACAAATAAATTTATTTGGTGCATAAAAATAATTTCCGTTTGAATAATGTAAGAGAAACTAAATTTTCAAGAAAATCACCGATTTTGACGCAATTTTCAATAAGAATTTCATCTTGTGATATGTGTTGTTGGTTGCTGGACAAGAACTCTAGAATAATATGGTGGTGAAAATATGTTATGATATATGATAATAAGTTTTTACCGATTCCAGTTGAACTGGAAGTGGTTTCAGCGTGTACCCCATGATTATGCTCACCCGGTATAATCAATAATTTTATTTCAACTCACCTCTCACTGTTTTCGGCAACTCCAACGGAATAACCACTTTCCTCCGCAAATACTGCGTACGCTCCATGAACTGCCCAACATGCCTATGTTTCAACAACTCCAAGGACAAAATCTCCGTTTCTGTAGTGATTTGATGCTTGCCCTCAGTATTGGGCGGCTTGGTCTGCATATCGTCCCAACGAAGGCACGCCCACATAATTTTCAATTGCAGCGCAGCACTAGACAACGATCTCAAGTTGACAGTTCGGTATATCCAGCACGTCTTGAAGAGAGGTCTAGAGCATGGGTAAGGCCAGATGCTGTTATTAGGTTTTGCTAGAGCATGGAAGCCCAGTATGTGGATTCTTCCAGCATTTCTTGCTAGCTTTCTCGTTTCATGCCGAGGAAGGACCAAGAGAGACGAAACGTTTTTCCTAATTTTGAAAGTTGAACAAGCTGGATACTTCAGGATCTGCCTTTTCTTACGCTTCATATCCATGGCGCTCGGAATTTTCTTCAAAACGACTTTTCCCTCAGTGGATATAGTTGAATACACTCTTTCAGTACCATCTGCAGCATGTTCTGCTTTGAATGTTTTCTCTTCACGCTTCACCCCAATTTTATAAGCACAAAATCTTCTGTTTTGCTGTGCGCTATATGCAGTAGTCTTGGCATTTAGGGTCTTAATAGTATGGGTTGCAGATCCATTCACAGAGGAAGTAACTGAGACTGCATCGATAATTTTTTCACTTCCAGATATACTTTTCACAACACCATCTACTGTCGTGGTGTTAGTAGTAACTGTAGTTGTTGTGGTGACGGTGCTGCTAACAGTGAATCCTTTCTCAGACTTGCTACCCAAAATCATTTCTTTTATAGCATCCGGTGACAATTCATTAACGTCAATGGGCTCATCTTCATCCATAGGTTCATGTTTCGGTTTTTTCTTCACTGGCGTAGAAACAATCTCAGGTTCTACCTTTGGGATAATTTCTTTCACCTCTTTCGTCTCTTCCGCCTCTTTCGCCTCTTTTACCTCTTTCGCCTCTTTTACCTCTTTCGCCTCTTTCACCTCTATCTTCTCTTCCGCCTCTTTCGTTTCTTCCGTCTTTTTCTCCTCTTTCATCTGTTTCGCCTCTTCCACTTCTTCCTTGACATCAACCTTGATTTCTGATATTTTGCTTGGAACGTAAGCTCCGCTTTCTTCTTCTACTTTTGTAGCTGTCATAACAGCGTTCATTAAATCTTTACAAATATTTTCTTTGGTTGGCTCAACTGTAGTTTTTTCTTCTTTTGGTTGCAGCTGTGGGGCTTTCAGAGTTTGTTCCAAAATCGAAGTTTTCTTCACGGGGGTTCCCGCCGTTTGAAGAATTGTCGGCAGTTTCACATTGGAATTTGTAGCCAAGTTAGCTTTGCGCAGCAAACTCAACAGATCTCGTCGGACTTTCACCCTTTGGATGCAAAGTGGTGAGTAACAGGTATTTTCTATACTGTTACCTGCACCTGAGTTGCATCCCTTGACGTAGCACTGGAAATCTTTTGCTAGTCTGGCTATGGAGGTGTACTGAGTCCTAAGGGTATGTATTCTTTTTGCAATTGTGCTCAGCACCTCACGATTCGGCAAAGTTTGAATGTTATTTGGTAGGGTTATCTTGCCAGTCATCATGTTGTTGAGCTGTTTGTCTAAACCTTCAGAATTGGAATCGTCTTCTGTATCCACATCCACCACTTCCTCTTCCTTGTTGGGCTCTTCAGTTTTGACTGGGGATATTTTTCGTTCCTCTATTGTTTTTAGCTGTACTCGCCTTGACAGTAGAGCATCCAGTTTAGATTTTTTGGCTATTTTGGGGTATAACAACCGACCCGGTGTTAAAAGAGCCTTAGTCACGTCGACTTCTTCGAAATAGTTCATTGGTGGTCGAACCTCGATATTTTTCAACACAGCCGGTAAATCATCAACGTCTTCACCAACTTTGCCATTCACTACTTTTGACATGAAATATTTGTGCATGTGCGAGTCAAGCGCAATAATTTTTTGATTACCTGCTGAATCCCTAATTTGTACCATTATTCTTGCAGGCCTGGCCGCCAAACCCAATTCTCTTGAATCGACATGTTGGAAATTCCTCGGAGTTCTGATCCACAACCATCCCCACCTACCATGTATTCTATATTCTTCACCTTTTTGTTTCCACAGTTGGTGTTTGAAACTCATCGTGTATTTGACATAACCACTAATAATCATCCGATTTCTCTCTTCCTCTTCTTCCCTCTCTTTCTTCTCACGTTTCTCGATTTTTTTGCGCTCTTCACGCTCAGCTGCTGTTATTCTAAAGAGTTTTGTATGTCCAAGTTGTTCATGCCAGACATTAGCAAATACAACTGGTTTGATACAAGCCTGCAAAACCACTAGAACTCTAGCAAAATCTTTGGGTTGCTGACAGTTGCCGACAATTGTCAACCAATGTTTACGCAATATATGCCAATTGGGGTGCATGAAAGGTGCAGGAATTGATTGCTCAAGTTGTAAAATGGTGTTACGGAGAGTGTTCATCAATATTGTTCTTGACCCACTCACCACACCAACCCATTTGAACTCTGAGGCAGGTGTGAGGGAGAACTTGTGCGATAGATGTCTCTTTTTATCTCTTTCCTCATTTCTCTGTGGCTTGTTGAGAGCAATGACGTTTGTAGTAAACTGGTTCACATAGAGCCTGAATGAATTTTCCATTCCAAGTTTGAATAGATATGTCCCACTGGCTATCTGGCTGGATTTCAGACGTGTCATACGGGATTCATCGGAGTCTTCACGGTTTATAATTAGTCCTAAGCTTTTTCGCCTCAAATCCTCCATGTTGAAAGTTCTAGGAGTAAGAGAACCTGTTTTTGATCTTGTTACAACTTCTTTGTTCTTCTCTGATTCTTCATCTTCTTGTGATTCTTTTTCTAACTTGGTAGCACTAGAATGAACAGTTTCTGCATGCCCAACATTAGTTTCTGTTGTTTCAATGGTACTAGTAGTGACAACTTCAGTATTCTCAACAACCATTGGAATTTCTGTAGGATCTGTTATTTCTTCGTGCATTTTAGCAACCATGTCCTCAGCATTCTGCCTTTCCTTCTCTTTTCTCTCTTCTTCTAGCCTCTCCTCAATTTCTTTATTTGTTTTTATTATTTGAGCATTCTCGGCATCCAAATAAGTTTTCTTGTTTCCCTTATACTGGTTCGTCAGTTTTTCCGTTAATTGCATTTGTCTGGATATTTCGTCTTTGTATTCTTGTAGTTCTCGGTAAACTACAGCTTCCATGTCTTTGGAATCAAGTACTTTGAGCACTTCTGCCAACTGGGTGGTAGTTGAGTAATACTGGAGTTCTCCCTCTTGACTTTCACTGTAGATGGATAAAAATTATGGTTATTATTTAACAAAGTTCAGAATATTTTTTGTTGTTGCCTAGATGTATTGGTTCCAAAGATGTTTTAGTACAGAGAAAATGTAAGCAAAGTAATAATAGTACAGTGATTGATTTTCTAACAATGAAAATTTATATATTCTCCTATTCAAGTTTTTGTTCACCTAAAACCCTCGTTACATTGTGACTAGTTGAAGTGTTCATTGAAAGTTGCTTAGATAAGAGACAGTTCGAGTGAGAAATAAATTTCAGAAAGTTAACTTATTAGGTACAAATAGGGAACAAAATAGTAATTATACCAAGGTTTATAAGACATTTTTGTAAGATGCGTTGTATTTCTTACTACCGGATATGCTTCAGCTTTGAGGGAAATGGGAGTCAAAAATGGTTCTCTTCATGATTTTTTTGCACTACTAGCAATTTTTTGTTAGTTACTATTCTCATTGAAACTGTTGAAAGCTTTTGTTATGGTAAGAGTAATGTTGCAAAAATTCAATGAAAATCCAAATTAAATAAGTTTTTGAGTATGCGGTTTTTAAGGTTAACTTGAATCTCAATAGGTCCTGTGCACATTTGATAGTTGACCGACTCTGGAGGTAAAACAATCCACTTTACAAAAAAATTGAAATAGTATTTCACAATTATGTTGGCATTTAAATCGTGTTTCTTGGGCTATTCATTATTAAAGCATGCCAACATATTGGGCTGTTGTTCAATGCACGAAAAATGCAGCGAGGGACAAAGGAATGAGATTTTCAAGGTAAATTGTGATCTCAAAGTCGTGTAGTCACTCACATAATTTTTATTTTGAAATTTTGTCATTTATCTTTAGAAATTCTTTCTGCAATAGGACCAATAGGAGCTAATAGTGAAAATGTCTACAACATACGTGATAATATTTCGCGCATCTCAGACCAGTCCTCCCGTTTGATTGCACGAATCCGGCGGAATCCAAGTGTTTTGGATGGACTGTATTTTCAGATTAAATCACTTTTGACATCTTTTTTTCAATATCACATTTTCCATCAGAACTGACGGTGACGGTTCTGGCAGAGATGGAGCCCCGCCAGAAATAATCACGGGAATGGTACCGACATCGGTGACTGATTTTGTATCAAATCCACTTGGCCACATGAAATCGGATGACAAATTTCGGTAGACACCAGCGTTTTCTCTTCTCAATCTCTGATTTTCTTTTTCCATATCTGCTCCACATCCGACTCGAAGGACCAGAATGTTTTCAATGGACTATATTTTCAGATTAAATCAATTTATCCAAATGATATCCTCTTTATGACAATAACATACAAATTCAATAACTCCAATAATTCTGATCACCAAGACAAAACAAAACAAAAGTAAAATACCAGCGCTGCATAGCATCTTATCGATACAAAGTGTATCCTTTCCATAACACCAAGCTTCTTGACTTCTTCTAGAAACTTCACAAGTTTTTCCATGAGCTATTGCAGAAGGAATTCAAAAGAGAAATGACAACATTTCAAAAAATAAACGGTGGGAGTGACGACAGTACTTTTGGATTACAATTCACTTACCCAAAAAATCATATCCCTTCGTCTCTCATAGCATTTTTTTGCATTGTACAACAGCACAATGTCATGGTATACTTTCAATGAATGAACAGCCCAAGAAACATGATTCATGTGCCAAAATGATAGTGAAAAACTATTTCAATCCTTTGTATACAAATAAGAAAAGTGAGGTTTTTACCTCCAGGGTCGGTCATCTGTCGAATGTGCACGCGACCGATATGGTTCTCAATTTGAACCTATTTCACTTACACAAACAGTCGCCTACACAGGAAATAATACTTTCTTCCGTGTCTATCGTATCCAAGCGGCTCTTGCCTCGACAGCTGTCCTTGCTTTTCCAAATCCAGAACGCAATCGACCACACCAGACACCCTGTGCGATCTGCATATTCCACACTGCCAGTCTTCTTCGGGAACGTTCACCAAGGGGGGATCGACGCATTCGAGATGATAGACGGCTGGGCACGTTTCACAGCACAAAAGGTCACCGAGCTTGTGACATACTCGGCAGTGGTCGTCATAGTGCATGGGCACTGAAAATAATTGATTCGCTTCATTGACAGAGACACAAGATGATCAAATTCAACTGTGCTTAGGTGGCTGGACTCAATAAGCAGAATCAATAATGAAAATTCAAAACCATTAATAGTAGGCATGTGAAAACCGAGGTGAAAACATTGTTTTTTATCGAACGGTACACCAGTGCCAGTCACTATTCTGAGCAAAGTGATTGAAAAATGGCACATTTCTGTGCGGTAATTCTCGCAAAATATCGCGATTTGATAACGAGATGAGAACTGCGGCATCCGATACCAATTAAAGGCGAAGTCGAAATCCGTACCAGAATGTTGAGCGGTGCTGAAAAGCAGGTCGGAATGTTGCCCTGCATTTTGCGCGGTTTTTGTTTACATTTACCCTCGCAATTACCTAACCTGCGTATTTTTTGATTATACCGTCGTTCCCACATGCTAACAACAAACCTGCAATCTTGTTATTATAGTTAAGTGCAATCATCAATTAGTGAAGTATACCATAAATCACTAATTATGGAAAGATTAATAAAAGTTTCAGAAAATTTGTATAGGGGCAATATGAAGAATGAAACAGAAGTTGTGCAATGGATGAATGATTATGAAGCTCAGTCGTTTACATCATGGCGTTTCAGATCAGGCCCTACTAATATTAAAAGATTCTTGTACAGGTAACAATTTTATGTTTTTTAAATATTTTTTATTTGCTCATGAAATGTATTCGAAGAAGACGAAGACGCAGTTTGGCAGGTAACGTGGCGAGAAATCAACCAAACGCTAAGTCCCATGGAATAGGACATTAACAGACATTAGGTGTTCTAATGATTGTTATTTCGAATTTATTATCTCATTTTATCACATGTAATCATTCATTTAAAACTTTTATACCAAATAATCATCATGAATATAAATGAAAATTTCTAAAGTTATTTAAAAATGCGTTCATTACACATTATCTAGAGCTTTCATTTCATCAACATTCCGACCTGTGCCTCAGCACCGCTCAACATTCTGGTACGAATTTCGGCACTCCGCCTTCAATTGGTCAGATAAATCAAAATCGGCCAATAGAATTTAAGCAGGTGCCGAATCCTATACCGGAATGTTTAAATGCATACCGGACATACTTCTGTCATGTGATAACAAAGTTGAAACAGAAAGCAATTAAAAGGTCGAATATTTAAACGTGCCATGATTCAAACTGATCAAAATTGGTGGCAGAGCGTCAATATTCCCGAGAATACTTGGCCCTTGTCCAAAGTTAATATCCGATGGACCAGTGTAAAACTCATGTGGTGCTCGCACTACAAGTATTCAAATCCATATGTTGAGTTTTACACCGGTCCATCGTATAGTATCTTTCGAGAGGGGCGAAATATTCTCTGAAATATTAACGCTCTGCCCCTACTAGCGTTTTATTCATCAGATTCCGCCACTGGAATCACTATAATGTGTTGTTTTATTTGCAACTTTTCCGTTTCCAGTTGCTACTTTTCATTCCGTCTCACTACATTGATTGACGTGGAATGACTGTTGACAGTTGTAGAAAAATGAAATGAAATTGATGAAAGACGAAACTATTGAAAGTAAGAACTATCTTTATCGTGAGGTTTATACTTTCGGGCTACAATCTGAAGAATACAAATTGAAATTTCTATGGAATGCTAGAAATAATAAGCATCAGTGTCAAAAAGCTTATGATTTCTTCAAGTAGGTAGGACGGGTAGGGCAGGTTCCATAATATATTCATTCTCAGATAAAATGAGTTCTCTTGACCGCAGATAACTATCTTCATTCACCGCAATCACTGCTCCAAATATACATTGATTCATTTTCTTGATTTTTAACTCTACAATAATGATTTTGAAATTATTCGGAGCCATCAAGCAAGGTCTGAAGTTTGTCGTTTTATATTTGTAAACGTCATTCTGTTCCCACCACCGTTACCAGAATGGACCAAATAAAACGCAACTTTTAACTCAGATCAGTTTGAATCGCGGCACGTTTGGATATTCGCGAAGGGGACATTATCCCCTTTTGTTTGCTTTTTGTTTTAACTCGTTATCACATGATGAAAGTGTGTCCGGAATAATGGCAGCAAATCAATCGCTCAGATTAAGGGATGGCACAGGTAGGTTTCTGAGATCTCCCATCCAATTGGTATAGGATGGCATAATTCTCATCTCGTTATCAAATCGCGCAATCAAGTGCAAATTACTGCACAGGACCGTGCCATTTTTCAATTATTTTGCTCAGGATAGTGATTGGCACTGGTACCCTGTGATAAAATACATGTGTTTACATGCCTTTGGGACATACAGTGTGACCCACTTCAAATGGAACCACCCCTGTATCTCATGTAATCGTTAGGTAAGGATCCTGAAATTTGCTGGAGCGAGATATACCAAAATGCACTCTATGACCAAGTGGGGTCATCTTCAGTGATATACACTGCTCGCCAACAGCCATGGAACCACCCCAATTTCCGGAAAATGATATTAGGAGTCAAAATAGGTTGAAAATCACTTCGGATTCGGAATCAGCGAGACACGTATAAGTGATATTGGTTGTAGATGTGTCCAGTCCATTGCTTACTAACATTTGTTCCACGTTTATCGTCATGCTTAGCGCAGAATAAATAAATTGTTCTCAAAGATGGATGCTTCATGTTTACACTTCTTGGAGATATGCGAGTACCAGAACATTCTGTTCGATTTTTCTTTCGTCTACTTTTCGCATATATTTTTAATGAAGAATTCTGATACAAACGAATATTGTTTGAATAATTCTGATACAAAATTCGAAAATAACAGTTGACAGTTAATACAATTGACAGGCCAGACATGTCTCAAATTACTGAAGCTGTGTTTAATGAACTGCGTTGCCATGGTAATGTGTTTAAGAAAGCGTGTTGCCATGGTAACATGTTTAATATTTTGAGAGAGAGAGAACATCTTTATTAGGGATATACCCCCAAAGGCCATTGACCGAAGTCTTTCAGCCCTAATATTTTGAATAAATCACAGATCGACAATCCGTGATTAATCGATCATTTAGCGTGGTACATATCCGTACGCTAAATGCCATTTTGGTTATGTGAGTAGAAAAAATAAATAAGAGAAGATGAACAAAATAAAATCAAAGATTAAAAAAAAAACACTTTGGAAGGCATTGAACTTCAAAGTATGCCTTGAATTTTTGTGAATCATTGATTGAAGGTTAATTGCTTAACCCAAGCGTTTGCTTGCAACTTGGTAGATGATAGATATGGAATGGTAAGATTAAAGAAAAATGATTTGAACTCTTTTTTTTTTCAACTTTTTGACTGCATCTGTTTGATTCAGTAGTACCAAAAGGTAGTACAGATGAAATCCTACAACTTTCATATTTGAAGTTTTTTTCCACCTTCTATAGTTGAAGCTGTAAGTAGGGGCCAAATTATGAGTAGACATAACCAATCATGAAAATATCAAATAATTGTAGAGATGTCATCGGAACAGGTATAACGGAACATCCGGTATATGATACTGACCTACATGTTCATAGTCACATACAGGCTGTTTCTGAACTTGAAGAGATGGGGTATTGAATGAGACATAACACAGAAATATATTTTCATACTTCCTTCAATCAATGATTCACAAAAATTAAAGTCTTTGATTGATTTCATTTTGTTCATATTCTCTTATCTATTTCATTCATGGTTCAAATTTTGGAAACACCCTGAATATTCATTGATTTAATATATAAATTTATATTGTTCTTGAAATTGATACAAAATCTACATACATTATAGATATAGGTGAATACTATCCTATTTTTCTAGCATTTTTGCAGACTACTGAATAAAAAGTTGGTACTCAAATTGTTGGAGAAGAATAGAATATCATTAAATCTTTCTCTCTCTCTCTCTCTCTCTCTCTCTCCCTCTCAGGTCAACCACCTCAACATTTTCGGTTACTTACCCAATTTTCCCAGAGATGGGGCACTCTAAGGAGCTTCTCTAATAAAATGTTTGCATTCTTGTAGACATGTATCAGAAACAATCAGGAACATATTATTATAAACACATATTCATACTGTATTGATGACTTTGTTACTGGCTAGACAAGCCACCTTAGGAACAGGACTATCAACTATTACCACAGTAGTTCCTTACTTACACAGGGTTTTTCATCATAAAATCATGCCACAACCTGAACTAAGTGACATTAAAGTGAATTCAAATCTCTGTTTTCAGATTCTCAAAATACTCTCTTTATAGATATTAGGACTTTTTTGTGATAATATTGTTTCATTTTTCTCTGTTATGATTCAACCAAATATGTTCATATTTTGCACACTTACTTCACATATTTGACACATTCATAAAAAGTTGAAAGGAAAAAGCCAGGTGTCAACTTGAAAATAAAAAAAATAGTCAACTGAATGTGATTTTGTCCACACATGGTGTGGAACAACTATTTGTCAGCTTGAAACATGGGTCCAACAAATACATCATTGGAAGTGTGTATATTCCTCCTAGATCCAGCCTGGATATTTATGAAAATCATATGGAAAGTGTCTTTGAAGTATGTACCTCACATCCTGATTTTGAATTGGTTATATTTGGAGACTATAACATTCCTGATGCAACTTGGTTAAGAGGTGACAGTGGACTTGAACTAATTTGCCCAGATTCATCCCCTGGAAAATATCTTTCTGACTCTTATAGTGCCTTAGGTTTAACACAGGTTAATAGTATCCCTAACAATAATTATGTATTCCTTGATCTCATTTTTTCACATATACCCACTCTTGCAATAGCCAAAGCAGATGATGTTCTAACTAATCTGAGTTACCACCATAATGCATACTGCTTCATGCTGACACTTGTTATCGAGGACACTTACCTAAAATATGATAATTTCTATCATGATTTTAAGACTTGTAATGCAATTGGTATAAACGATTATTTAGCAATGGCAGATTGGAGTGCCCTATATAATACTAGGGACATTAAT